GCGCGGAGCAGAGACGCAGGCGCCCGCGGCGGAGGGCGCGGGGTGCGGGGTGGGAGGGGACAAAGGGGCGCGGGGGCGCGAGGGGTGCAGAAGGCAGGCGGGCGCCCGCCCCTCCTGGGGGCGGGGTCTGTCCCGCGCGGCTCACAGGCTGCGGACGCTGTCGCTCTGGCCGAAGCTCCGCCCCGGCGCAGGTCCCGCCCCCGGACGAGGCCCACCCCCAGCGCGGGTCCCCTGGGGTCTTGGGTTCAGATCCCACGCAGCTGAGCGCCCCCTCCCCGGGCCTGAGCTCCACAAGCTGCTCTCTGAGACTTACAGAATTTCTATCGGCGATTTCCCTGGAATATGTCGCCTTTCCTGTCGCAGTGTCAAGCCCCTGATAGCATAAACTGTTGCATTTCACGAAGCTGGCAGCGGACAGGAGGTAGAGTCCTCCCCAGGGCGGATCTGCCGAAGCTGAGATGCCAGCAGCCCAAGGTGACAACCAAGGCCACCCAGCCCCCGCGCCCCCCATCATATGTTTAATTCAAGCTGCGCCCATCTTTGGGTGACCCAACTATAGGACCAACACACGGGTAAGTCACTAAATACATCCTTGCCACCGCACAGGAGCGCGTGTAGGGCGCGTCATGTGGGCCGCTAGCTGTTTACCAGGTCACCCGCAGCGCTAAGCTCGGATCTGTACGTGGGAGGCGTGCTCCCGCGCAGAGAAGCTGAGCCGCGTGACCTCGGCATCTCTCCTGGGGCCTGGCGGTCCGGGATGGGTCCAGATGTGAGCAGCAGCTTTAGGTTCTGATCATCTCACCAGGTGACCTGGGCAGACACCAGCGCCCCCAATGCTGCTGCCATCAGCTCAGCCAGAGGCTGGGAGATAGTGGCTTTCTGGGGCCGTGCGGTACCATGTGCAGAGCAGGGGCGAGGGCCCCCAGCCGCCAGCTCTCCTGGGGCAGTGCTGAGGCAGGCTGGGAGGAGTCGGGTCCGTGCTGGTCAGGCCTCCTGTGTGATCCCCTCCGGCCCAGGAAGCTGACGCTGCTAGACTCTGGCTCCAGCCTCCAGGAGGCCAGGTCTGTTCTTTGCCACCTGGACCTGCATTTAGTGAAGGACCCCCACCCCCACCCCACCCTGGGCAGCTACCAGTGGGTGCCTGGGCTGAGGCTCCCCATGCCCATCTCTGAGCTCTCAAGATGACCTCGGGCCAGGGGAGGCAAGACCTCATGCTCCTCCACAGACAGACGAAAAGGCCGATCCAAGGCACAAGCAGAGGGCACAGTGACTGCTGTCACCTGTGTCCTTCCTGTCTTATCCCGGTTCAGAAGCAGCCAGCACTTGCCTGCTCTCAGCCCCGACCTCCTGCCTTGAGAAGCTCACGGCCCCAGGGCCCACCTGGCTCCATGGCCCTGTGCACCCCAGCCCGGCCACCTCCGCAGTGCAACCAGGAAGAACAACAAAGTGGGCGCTGGCGGCGCTCTGCCCAGCTGTGAGGTGAGGAAGCAGCCTCCTCCCTTTCCAGAGGCACCGGCTTGGTGTCCTGGCTGCAGACCACTTTCCCGGAAGCATCAACACAGATCTTTGAGAAACAGAAGTACCACTTCCTGCCTGTTAGCTTATGTCCTTGAAGAACTTTTGGATGTGACCAAAGAGGCTGGAAAGCAGAGAGAGAAAGAGGAAAGAACATGGGGGGAATTGGGGCCACATGGCGCAGCCACCTTAAGGAAAGAAGGGCCCAGGTCTCTCCCAGCAGGGGGCCCGAGATCCTGTCCCCAGAGGCCACACAGCCCATGGTGACAGGATGAGTGTGGTGGGCCGGAAGTGCTTGTACACCCCCCTGCCCCGCGTCAGCAGGGGCTGGGCCTGGGGGCGGCCGGGAGCCAGGCTTGGCCCACAGGACCCGGGGCAGAGCTGGCACTGGGGTCTCTTCTCCCCAGGGAAGCAGGAAGGGGTACTGCCTATGGCAGGATGCTGGGCAGAGGGTGTGGGGCCAGGCGTTTCCAGGGAGGGCAGGACCCCAAGCAAGGGAGGCGGACGCGCTGGCCTGGCTCAGCCTCCCCTGTGGCCTGTGCTGAGCTCCTAGTGCTGCTGGGTGGGGCGCGCTTGGCCTCTACCCTGTCTTGTGTGGGAACAGACGTGCTCGGGTGGGGGGTTAGTTTAATTTTACCAGAAAGCCCAAACCCCAGACCAACTACCTGCGGGCAGGCAGCGCACTTGGTGAAGCGGAGGTTCGGGGTTTGGGAGGTGGCGTGGGGACCGGGCCCTGCACTGGGGTCGACGCAGAGTGTGCGCCCAGTCATGCGCTGCCTGCCTCTCTGCCGGCTTCCCTCTCAGGATCTCAGATCCCGTGTTGGCCGGCCAGCCGTTGCCCGTCGTCAGCCTGCGGAGGCGCAGACAGCGCCGCAGCGACACTGTTCCTCTCCCCAGTGGGTTGCTTACTTAAAGCAACGCTTGAGCCTCTTTGGGAGCTCCGAGGGCAGCAAAGGCTCTGCGGAGTCCGTAGCCAACTGTCCCTCCCCCACCCTTTCACGCGAGAATCCAGAGAAGATGGCTAAATAAACGCAGCCTGTGTTTATTTGGTTTCCCTGTGTGTGCGTGGTCTGCAGAATCCCAGAGGTATGGGCTCTTCTCTGTTCTTAAGCTGTGGGGTGCCCGGAGACGCGACCTCCACCCGCATACACAATGAGAATAAGCATCCTCTAACTCCTTCTGAGGCACCATCCTGAGCGCGCCGTGCCCTGGGCTACTGGCATCACACAAGCTACACGCTCTGCAACTCAGGAATAACAGAAATGTGAGGCTACCCATGTGGAGACAAGAGCGGCCACGGGGCTCCGGAGCAGTCGCCTACCTTCTTGATGCAGCCTTCCTGGGACGATACCTCCGTATCCGTCAGCATCGGCTGCAAGACAATTGTAAGAGGGCTGTTAGCCTGTGACAGATTCCTCCCTCAACTACAGGGCTCAGGGATGCTGGGGCAGATCAGAAGTCTTCTCAGGGTGGGACCTGGGGGCATCTCTGTGGCTGCTGACACTGGGCCCCTTTTAGTCCAGCAGAGGCTCCCCCATTGTTGGAGGCCTCTGAGTATTCCCAGGTGTGTTCCCCCTGGAAGTGATGTCCTGGGCCCTTGCTGGGCCACTCAACTGTGGCCTTGTAGTAACTGGCAGGGACCCAGGGGGCAAAACACAAGGACATGGGAGGACCGTTCACTCTCACTCCCAGGGCTCCCCAGCAGCCCAGGTCACTCCGAAAGGCGATTTTGCCTGTCTGCTCAGCCTGCAGGGTGAGGAGGACCCTGCCCCAGGCACCTCTAGCCTGGCTCTCAGGAAGCAGAAGCAGTGCTCAGGGGAGCTGCCGGAGTCCAAGCCCAAGCAGGAGGCAGACGGGGGAGGCAGGTCTGCAGGCTGTCGCCGTCCCACACGCCTTCCTCCTCGGCCGGCTGCTCAGGGGCAGCAGTGCTGGAACCTGCCCTTCCCTAGCGTCCTGGGTCCTGAGAAGAGGACCTTTGTCCCTGGTGTTGCAGGAAACTCCTCCAGGCCAGGGAGATCAGGCTAAGGCAGAAGCACAGAAGTGCCCTCTTCTCCCCTAGTGGTGGCCCTGGGTGGCACAGGAGCCAGGCTGTCCATCCTGCTCACAGACAAGGCTGTGAGAGCAAGTGGGGCCACCGTGACTCGCTCCCAGCCCAGCATGGGCCCGGAGCTTGGCCCTGGAGGACTGTGGCCTCTGAAAGCCCGCTCCACTGCTCTGCAGGGGGGCGGGGGGGGCATCGTGGCTGCCCCAGCACGCTTTCCAGACAGGCAAACTGACAGAAGTGCGTGCCCAGCGCACCTCAGTGATCACAGTTTCTGCAAGAAGAGCAGCCAGGTGAAACTCACCCTGGAGTAGTACAATGAGAGAGTGCCGGGCACAGGCTCCTCCCGCCGCCACCCTGAAGCCCACCGGTTCCCGCTGACGCCCATGCAGCCAAGCAAGGAAAGAGGACCCAGCGCAGCGAATGCAGGGCTCCTGCACCATCCCAGCTGTCCCAACATGAGGTCATGCTTCTAACCAACTGGAGATTTTACTTTCCTTTTAATAGATTCTGAAATTGTCGTTTAGAAAGTGACAGTAAATGAAAAAAGAACGAGACAGAGAAGGTGGAGGCCGGGAAAGAGACCCCGGGGAAGCCTCTTCCAGGGAGAACCTGCCACGCCTGGGTCACTGCATGCGGATCCTTCGCCCAGCCTCACGCACGCTGCGCTGTGTGCGCATCAGCCCCAGAGCAAGGCGGCGCCGAGACAGAGGGGAGCGTGCTGCGTCACCAGCATGTCCATGCCCCCGCCCCAGCGCCCAGCTGGGGCCAGTGTTTCTCCAGTTCATGTGATGGATGGCCAGGGATGCCCCAGCTAGCTGCAGAAGGGCAGCAGTCTTCTCTGAAGTTTCTGGAGGCTGCATCCTGGAAAGACATCCCCTCTGTATATGGTGACAGCCCCTGTGGGTTGAGGCCGGGCCAACCCAAGCAGACAAGAGACCCTGAGGAGCTCGAATGCAGCCTCACCTCAGGGAGGAAGATGACCCGGCTGCTCTGTATCGAGGGAAGGTGCAGTGCCCTTCTCTGAGGCCATGTGCTGTGGAAGCCATCTGTCCCGGGACGTAGGACCCCAGTGGTCGTGTCCTTCCTGCAGCCTGCTCCCGTGGGCTCTGTGGCCTGCACTCAGGCATCCACACCAACTGCGCCTGATCCAGCCAGGAAACCCTGCTCCCGACACTACAGGAGAGGTCCCTGAGAGCGGTCAGCGTCCAGCGGAGGACAGGCGTCCCTGAGAGCCGGGTGGCATCTGGCAGAGGCAGTGGCTGCTCTGCAGGTGCTGGGCCTTTACACCCAACTTGTGTCTTGAACCTCAGCCCAAGGGACACCTGTGTCCCTCAGACCTTGGGCAGCAGGTGAGTACAACAACTGCTCTTTGTGAGAGGCCGGGAAGTGGCCAGGTAGAATGCAGGGGGATGGCTCCTGCTACTCTCAGACCCATCGTGGGATGGACAGAGAGGAACCTTGGAAAAGTGCCAACCCCACGTTCAAGACGCACTGGGGTCAGGCTGGCACCGTGACCACAGAGTGACACGGGGCCGTGGGCTAAGCACTGCGCCCTGGTGCGTGACCGAGCCACGCATCAGTCAGCCTTCCTCAGCCAGGGAGGGACATCCAGCCAATGTCCAGAGCAAGCAGATGCCTGTGAAGCTCCAGAAAGCAGCAGCTGCTGCAGCCAGGCCTGAGCCGTGTCCTGGAACTGCGGGCCTGTTTCACAGTCACCCTGGCAGGTACGAATGTCATTAACATGGCCTCCTCACCCACTGCTGACCTCGGGCGGATGCCGCTGGACACACCCCCGGAGCCGCTGGCCTTGGCCTCCTCCCCAGCCAGCCGCTGCCCTGCTGAAAACCTTCTTTATTTTGCTAGCTTAGCCCCAGCACACGCGGGGCTGGCGCAGGGATGGCTGGCGGTGGCTTCGGGCTCTACGCTTCTCTGCACCCGGGCAGAGGTATTAGGTGTGTTTTGATTAAACATTTTAGCCAAAGCGCAAGGTTTGACCTCCGGCATTTAGCTTCTCTCTCGAATATCAATGCCAGGATTTAGCTAAGTGGGGTTGGTCAAAGCATCTTTTTTGACTCTTAAAATAAATAGCCTCTGTTCTCCAAGAAGCCAGCAAGGAGCTGATGCATACACACATGGACACTGCCTAGCCCCACAGTGAGGTGGGCGGGCATGTCCCCGAGGGGCTAATGCTCCCTGCATGACACAGACAGGTCCCAGAAGCCACCTTCCCTTCAAAGTGATCAGGTAGCAAAGAACCTGAGGCCGGGCCCGTGGGAGGAAGCCCTGGACGTGGGCTGTGCCCGCGGGAGGAAGCCCACAGGGAGCCCAGCCAGGAGGCGGCTCCAAAGCCAGAGGAGAGGGCAGAGTCCAGTGTGTGATGCACCCTCCAGCCAGCCTGGCAGGACGATCCTGGAGCCCTCTGGTTGGTCCACCTCCTGCCCTGCCTCTGAGCCCAGCCCTCTCTGCAGCTTACGTCTCCCCTCATCTGGTTTGGAAGTCATTTATTTGTGCCCAGAGATCCAGGCTGTGCAGGAAGCCCGTTCCACGGCCTCCCCAGGGCTGGGTCAGTGCCGCCTGGGCCAGCACTTGGGTCATTTGAGGAAGGAGGGCAAAGTGACGGCCAAGGGTTCTGCTAGCAACTGTGTGAGTGGATGGCCGAGCGTGGTCACCCGTGACCCTCATGATCAGAATCATGGTGTCCATGTGGCTATCCTTTGTCCTGGGTCTTAGCCCCAGAAGCAGGGCTCTCGAGAGCCAAAGCTGGGCCCTCAGGAAACCACTGTGCGCAGGGCCAGCTTGTTCTGGGAAGATAGAATTCTTAAAGAGCAATTCCCTTCCTTGATCTTCCGCCCAAACCAAAGCCCTATGATTGCTGCTGGTTCCCCTGGTGTGAAGGTGGCCCTGCTGTCTTAGGGACAGCGAGGATGTCCTCCTGGGACAAACAGGCCTCCTTTGCTTCTTACACCTGCCCCAAGGGAGGTGGGAGCCACAGTCTCTCCGCCATCTAGACCAGGGCGGCTGAGGCACAGGGAAAAGGTGGCAGCCACACTCACGTCTGGCCTTGGATGCTAAGCCCGGGCCCTGGAGGGACACAGGCCACTGGGTAGACACAGGGGCACAAGGAGCCCACGCCAGGACCCACGCATGAGGCGGCCTGGGACAGCCGGAAGGGGGCGCCCAGCAAGGCAGCGCTGGCCTGGGCAAGCTGGGTGGCAGCCCACTGGCAGGAGGGAAGACCAGCACAGGGTTGAGTCACTGGGCCGGCTCTGGCTCCCGAGTAAAGGCCCCAGCCGTGTTGACACAAACCCTTGAGCTCTCAACTGGGAGTGGGGTCATATTTATTTATTTTTTGCATTAAAAAAATCAGCTTGGCTGTGTTTGAGCTGCAGAAATGATTTTTTTAAGGAGCTGCGGACACTGTTTTTAGCTTTTATGCCTAAACAGATACTTCTCAGTTCTTTCAAGTGTGAGCGGCCGATGAATGGAGGCTCTCTCTCGCTCCTAAGAAAAATATTTACACAGTGGAGTGCTGCACATGGAGGACGGGGCTGGCTCGGGACCCCGTCCTGCTGTGGAGGGCCCCTCCTGGGGCTGCCCTGGGTCCTGAGCTGTACCTTGTCCGGGGGGAGCTTACAAAGACCCTCATGGGAGTGCCAGACGAGGGGCGAGTGTGCACCAGCGACCCCAGCGGCAGGCTGCACCCAGGGGAGGCGCCCCCACCCTGGCACCCTGCTCCACCAGGCGGCGGCGCCCTCCCCCAAGGCCCACCTGGGTGTGGCGAGGCCTGTGCCTGGCTCAGGTCACGAGAGCACTAGGGCCAGCAGGCTCGGCCGTACGCAGACGACTGTCCCCGCAGAGGCCCGCCCTGCCCTCCTGGCCGCGCAGACCAGAACCTGGCCACGGTTTGCCGCCCTCAGCTGTTCCAAGAACACTGTGTTCACTGGCAGCTCTGCTGCGAGTGCGGCCCCTCGGCCCGGACACCCTTTCCTGTGGAGCCCGGCCAGGGCCGGCCGCTTCCCGCTGCAGGCCCGCGGCATCTCCAGGTCACAGGCCCCCATCTCGCCCAGTCCCCAGCCTTGTTTCCGAGCAGTTATCCACCACCTGCTGTCTACACTGCCCGTGAAAGGCACTGTGGAGCGTTGTGCGGGGTCTACAACTCTGGGGCAAAGACCAAAGATACAGGAGTGCTTGCATCCAGGCACTCACTCACACACACACACACACACACACACAGACGCTTGCACACGCATGCACCACACTTGCGCTTCTACACTAAGACGCTGCCGCCAGCCTGGGGCTGAGAACCTTGGAGGGGCTGGGGCAGCGAG